TTGAAGAAAAAAATTATGCACATTTTTATTGTAAAGAAAATAATTTGTTTTTTTTTTAAATATATATAAATGAAAAGTTTTTGTTCTTATTTTTAAATATACATTATATATCAAATTTTTTATTTTTATGATAAGTTACGTCCTTAAATACATCTTTTTATTTTTAAGCATATATACATTATATATAAATTAAGTTTCATTCAAATTTTTTATTTTTATGATAAGTTACATTCTTAAATATATATTTTTTATATATACATTATATATAAACTAAGTTTCATTCAAATTTTTTATTTTTATGATAAGTTACATTCTTAAATATATCTTTTATATATACATTATATATATAAAAGATAGAACATAACTTATCATAAAAATAAAAAATCCGAATGAAACTTAGTTTATATATAATGTATATATAAAAGATATATTTAAGAATGTAACTTATCATAAAAATAAAAAATTTGAATGAAACTTAGTTTATATATAATGTATATATAAAAAATATATATTTAAGAATGTAACTTATCATAAAAATAAAAAATTTGAATGAAACTTAATTTATATATAATGTATATATGCTTAAAAATAAAAAGATGTATTTAAGGACGTAACTTATCATAAAAATAAAAAATTTGATATATAATGTATATTTAAAAATAAGAACAAAAACTTTTCATTTATATATATTTAAAAAAAAAACAAATTATTTTCTTTACAATAAAAATGTGCATAATTTTTTTCTTCAAAATTTTTATATATTAATATTAGAAATATTTTTAAGGGTGACACGAATTTCAACATTATTACTATATATTAATATTTGGTTTATCAGATATTTTTGATATTACAGATAATAATGATCCTTGCCTTTTTTGGATAGCCTAATTTTATAATAATAAGTAATAATGAAGTCGAAATGGTTAAAAATAATTTCGACTTTTTGATAAATAGTCGAAATGATTTGGATAGTCGAAATGATTTTGGATAGTCAAAATGATTTTGGATAGTCAAAACGATTTTGGATAGTAATAGTCAAAATAGTCGAAATGATTTTATTGGTCTTGAGGTTTGTGCTTCAAAATGTTACACTAATTTTATTATCTATCTTCTACATCTTATATCTATTATATTAAAAACGTTGCGTTCACGTGTCCTAATGTTTAGAATGGCGCGCACGCATAAATAAACGCAACGTTTAGGCTGCCACGCATAAATAATTTTTTTGAATTGTTCAATAACGCAAACGTGTGTCACAATCTATCCATTATTGTATCAATGGGTTACGTTTAGACTACCACAAGCACGCAAATAAATATGTTGTGATGCGTAACGTTTTAGACCACCACATGCAATCTATCTATTATTGTATCGTTGGGTTACGTTTAGACTACCACAGGCACATAAATAAATATGTTGTGATGCGTAACTTTTAGACTACGCATGTAAATGATTTTTAATTGTGATACAATAAAATTCCACAATAAAATATTATATTTTTCATTAGTTTGATTATTCTCTAACTTTGATAATGTGACATTTTGTAGTCATGAAATCAAATTTAACAAAATTATGTCAATCAAAACTGTTATTTTTTTAAATCTATACATATTTATAATAAACGCAACTAAACTTATTAATGCTATGAATTTACAGTATTAAATAATTTCGAATAAAAAAAAAAATTTACAAGATTATTTATAGTGTGCTCTAGATGTAAACTGTCAGCGAAGCTGACAGGTTACACCTAGTAATATATTAATAATAATAATTCTTATTAAATATATAACATTGTATTAATCTTTCAAAATGGGGTTTACTATTACTATTATTGTTACGCGTGTGATCATCAAAGCATAACGCAGTAAGTAATAATATATTATCAATAATAATTTTTATTATATAACATTGTGATTAATATTTCTTTCTTTCAAAATGGGTTTATAGTTAAACAATGGGTTATTTTTACACAACAATTAAAGAAAAAAAATTGTTATTACTTTATTATTATTATTATTATTATTATTATTATTATTATTATTATTATTATTATTATTATTATTATTGCTATTTATAAAATTTATTTGTATTTAAAAAAATAAATAAAAATGTCTATTTAATTTAAATAAACAATATATTTTCTAGTAATTTTAATAATAAATCAAGTATAAATCAAGTATATTTTAAGTGTAATTTAAGTATAATTTAAGTATAGTTCTTTTGAAATTCGTCGTGTTTATAGAAAAAGACGTTCTTCTAATATCAAGATTGACCAAGATCAAGATTTATCTAACCAAAAAGATTCAGATAACAAACCAGAAGTATAATTATAATTTCATCTTTAGTATTTTTGGGGGGGGCTTATAAGATAAATTTTAAGTCTATTATTTAGCTCGATTCAAATATTTTTTGTAAAATTTGTTATGATATGTTATATATACAATTTAGCAATCGTTGTTTATTGATCAATATTCATTGGTTTTTAAATAAAATTGAGAGTGTAAAAATGTGATTTTATGAAATAAATGCTTTCCTACAAGCAACATAATATAGTGTTCAATTGTATATCTAAGTATTGGAAATTTATATACTTCAATCATCTAATTTATCCTACTTAAAAGTATTAGTGTCACTGACAGGTTTAACGGGCTCAATAATGGTTAATATGGCAGCCATTATTATTTGTTGTTGTTGTAAATTAGAAATAAAGATTGAAGGTGATGTAGAAGACACAGGATAATAATAATAGCAATCGCCATTGAAAGAGCAAACTTAATTGATGACAATAAAAAAATAATAGGTTATGAAGAGTATTTCTCAAGTTGAAACTTGTTATTATTTTCTTTTGTTCAAGAAAAGTTGTTGTTAAAGCACGTTGTTTATATATACAGTGAAGGACTATTTCCTTGACTAAGTCTACTTTATCAACTTTGACGACGTTGTAACTACTCCCATTCCATATCAGGGATGATCATCCTGTCTGCTTGCTTTACACAACAATGGACATTGGGTGAGCAATAGGTATTGTCTGATTGTGGCTGAGGGAACCCTTTGAAACATGGTTTTTCATTTGATGGTTACAATGGTGTAATCTGATACTTCATGACCAAATGTGATGTTTCTTTTTTTCATGTAGGTAAAGCTATGCATATGGATCATTCCATGATTTTGAAATTTGTCATGTTTGAAGAAATGCCCTAATTCACCATCCCAGGGTCCTTCCACAACTTGTTCCAGCATATTTCGGTAGTGCAGGGATTTGTTTTTACACACTTATTTCTGTTTTG